AGATATATTTATTTATACACAAATATTTTGTAGAAGGAATAAATGGATTTTATAGAGGTTTTATACCTTGCATATTAAGATCTTTTCCTGCAAATGCTTGTGCAATTGTAGCATTTGAATCAACAATGAGATTTTTAAAAAATAAAAATTTATAATAAACTTCTTTGGGAATTATACTATTGTCCTTGTATTATGCTTTATATTTTATATTGTAATTGTTATCATATCTGTTGTCATCATTTTCATCATCATTCATTATTAATAATATTTCTTTTTCATAAACAAAATTTTGCAAGTTTCAAAATAAAAACTCTCTTATTTAAATGGCATTGAATGAAACTTTTCTTTACAGGGTTCTTTTTTATTTCAGAAAGCTCCTTGTTTATACTTTTTCTATCAAAATTAACTGGTGCATTATTATACATTTTATTAACAATTTTATTTACAAATTTGTGATGATAGATGGCATTTTTTTGCAATTTAAATTTTTATTGATTGGTTGGTATAAATGAATAAAAACAAAATTAAATTAATGAATAAATGAATAAAAATCAATTAATCATCCATTATCAATCCTTTCCTTTCCCTTTACTATTATTATTACAGGTAAATTGTATATAATTATAATGGATAGTAACTTCCAATTAATTAATAATGAAATTTTTTTCAACATTTAAGAGAAATGAGTTAAAATCAAGATCATTTAATGAAGTCAATACTTGTATAACTTTTTAAGCTATTATATTTGGCAATTTCTTCATCTACTTGTATGATATGCATCTGGATGTGATTTGTGTATTTGTTGCGAATCACTACCACCATCATTATAAAATCAATTTCAAGCTTCTTGAATAATCTTCTTATTAAACTATTATTGCTTTTCAAACTCTTATTTTAGCAAAATATAGAAGCTCTTCACTAGTTGGTCTTTTTGATGAATCCACATCCAAACACCTCTGCATCATTTGTGCATAATCATTGGGCATTCCAGGTAATATTGGTGATCATAAACCTTCACATATATCAAAAATTAAATTATGATTGTGAGCTCTATCATTAAATGGCAGATTACCTACAAATATTTCCCACATTAACATCCAACACTATAAATATCAGATTATTTTTGCCTTTAAGTAGCTCAGGTGCAACTATGATATAATTCCATAGATTTTATTTGATGATTTTTAATCAATTGGCCTACATAATCCCAAATATGCAATATAACAATTACCTCCCTGCAATAATATGGGGTATGCTGCAATAAAACCAGACAAAGTGAACATTAGTACTACCAAAAGTTTCAGGGATTGTAAATGTGATCAAATTGGTTTGATGATTTCAAAGATCAAAATTATTTCAATTTTGATGAAAGCAATACAATTTGGTATAATAACAGCAATAACAATATGATTTATCTTATATTATATTTCTATTTTTTTTTTTAAAAAAAAAAAGAATAAATGATATAATTTTCTTATTGATAGTTACCAGCAATAAGTAATCATTATTGTTTTCAATTAAAAATTTTAGTTATACTCCCACCATGAGATAGATGGTGCCACGGAAGTTGATTTGGAATCATTTGAATCATTTATATAATCACCAGAACAAATTTTGCGCATGATGTAATATCTCCAGTAAAGTTCTTTGTAAGGATGATTCATTGAAGATGGAAGTATGTGTAACAGGGTTGGTCCATTGATGGTCTATTGGTGGTCCATTGGGTCCATTAGTGTAACACTTTAACCATATTTAGTATTTTATTAAT